AGAAGTAAATGTGGTTGTATTGAAAATATTGTGAAATGAAGCAAGCCAATCAATCAGAAAAAAAGAGGCTGATTGAATAAAAATCAGCAAACAAAAAAGAGGGAAATGAAAAAACTGAACTAGGGGAAAAAAAAACAGAACTTTGAGGTGTCTAGCATGGGAGGCATAGGTGTTATGACCAGTTAAGGGAACAAAAAAAAAAGATAGAAAGAAAGAAAAACATAATACAGGTCTGCATTTGATGGCCATTCAAAACTTCTTCTCTGCCATTTATATGAACCATGATTTCTGCACAATGGACAACCAAGCCACTCACAAATGAGATTTGATACAGTATAATATGATTCAGGACCTAGAAGGGCTAAATGCATCATTCAAAAATAATGTTCTTTTTCTTTTTAGCACCCAGTTCCATATCTACATTCTTTAATTACATATTTGTTTCTTGTGGTTTCTTTACACTCCATTGAAAAACACCATTCTCTAACTGTCCCTGAAATTAAGTCACCAAAATGTTGAAATTTGATGTGAGACAGAGAAGCACATAACTCACTGAAACTGCACAAAGGGACTTTTATAATGCAGTAAATTAATATTTAATATTATGAAGAGAGGAAGACTAAAGTTCACTAATTCATTCTACTGGGTTCTCACCCACCTGTAGTAAAGACTAGGAAGACCTTCTTGTGGGGTTTCTAACTCTTGATACTCTTGCCATTTTGAACCAAATAATTTCTGTTGTGGGCTTGATACCAGGCATCATGTTATCTTCAGTACCCTTCATCTCCACACACTGTCAACAGTGATCTGGCTTTACCAAGTCCTGGTCAGAAAGTTTCTCCACACATTGCAAATGTCATTTAAAGCATATGTCATTGACTGGCCTTAGAATTCTATTAGTGGGGGAATGACTAAGACATACTGCCTTTTTTTATGTATTGAGACATTTTTATTCTTTTTTTTTGAAATTTTTTTTATTTTTTATATCTTTATATTTTTTCTTTATTAATTACACTTTATTCACTTTGTATCCCCCCTGTGGTTCTCTCCCTCCTCCTGTCCCAATCCCTCCTTTCCTCCACCCTCTGCATGCATGCCCCTCCCCAAGTCCACTGATAGGGGAGGTCTTCTTTTCCTTCCTTCTGATCCTAGTCAATTAGGTCTCATCATGAGTGGCTGCCTTGCCTTCTTCTGTGGCCTGGTAATGCTGCTTCCCCCTCAGGGGGAGGTAATTAAAGGGCAGGCCAATCAGTTCATGTCAGAGACAGTCCCTGTTCCTATTACAATGGAACCCACTTGGATACTGAACTGCCATGGGCTACATCTGTGCAGGGGTCTTAGGTTATCTCCATGCATGGTCCTTGGTTGGAATATCAGTCTCAGGAAAGAGCCCTGTGCTCAGATTTTTTGATCTCCTTGTGGAGATCCTGTCCTCTCCAGATCTTACTGTTTCCCACTTCTTTCCAAGATTCCCTGCACTCTGCCCAAAAGTTGTCCATAAGTTTCAGCATCTACATTGATAGTCTGCAGGGCAGAGCTTTTCAGAGGTCCTCTGTGTCAGGCTCCTGACTTGTTCCCTCTTTTCTCCTTCTTCTGATGCCATTATACTTTATTCACTTTGTATCCCCCCATAAACCCCTCCTTTCTTCCCTCCCAATCCAACCCTCCCTCCCCTTCTTCATGCATGCCCCTCCCTAAGTCCACAGATGTAGCCCATGGCAGTTTAGTGTCCAAGTGGGTTCCATAGTAATGGAAAGAGGGACTGCCTCTGACATAATCTGATTGGCCTGCTCTTTGATCACCTCCCCCTGAGGGGGGAGCAGCCTTACCAGGCCACAGAAGATGACAATGCAGCCACTCCTGATGAGATCTGATAGACTAAGATAAGAAGGAAGGAGAGGAGGACATACTGCTTTTTAATTTTGCAACTGGGACCATTCTCTGCAAGACCATGTTTGTCTCCATATCAAGGGGGCAAAATTGCTGTGGCAGAGAACTACTGTACTTGGGAAAGAAGCAATCACACACACAGAGTTTGTCAATGCCATATCTCCTACTTTGGAGGCACATATTCAGTGTTTCTTAATTTAATAAGAAAAACATCCCCTTTTAATTTAAATATGGAAATGAAGACCTCTTTAGCAGGCCCAAGCATTACACACAGGTCTTGACCCTTTCCATTCCCTTGCCCTTGCTAAACTGTTAGGCTACATTCCAAGAGCTATCCCCTAAGTTGTATTTACCTTATTTGGTCACTGGCTCATTCTTGAGACAAAACACCAAGGTCCAACAATCCGAACTCATTATTTGACTACACTGGCTAAACAGTCCAAGTCAGGTCTTACAAATTTATCCTCACACAGACTTCCCCCTTTCTTCTTAAAATCCCACTTCTAAAAGCAACAACAAAAATAACTACTGATGGCTGTCTGCCTTTGCCTGATCCAGAGACAACCCACCCCCACCCCACCCCACCCCACCTTCCTGTTCCAGCTTGTACCACCAGGGTAATAAATATTCTTTTTGCTGAGAATTTGGTGTCTGGATGTGTCATATACAGATTCCAGGGGACCCAATCCCTTACAGAAAGACTAGGAAAAGCTGTATGAAGAATAAATGTGGAATAGCTAAGTGTTTCAATTGAAAGAGTATTTGAGCAAAGTAATAAGGGGTTAGGCTATCCCAAACTGAGTGAATGTTGTAGAGTAAGAAGAAAACCCAAAAATACATAACACATGGTTATTTCATTATATGCTATGATTTGACCTGTGATCTTTGCTGATATTGTCATAATTGATACACAACTTGTGTAACAGCCCTAACTGTGAGAAGTGTTATCATGACAGTTTTATTAAGCTAGAAACTGAAAGGCATGGGGATGTTAGTTATAAACTTGAAGACAGAATTTCTGTCAAAAGGGACATTCAGAACGAAACTCAGTCTGTACAGCTCCATGGTTCCACACCCACAAATGTCCCATCCTCCTACTCTAACATCTTACAAGGAAGATTTGTTAAATCTGAGTAGAAGAGAAGCCTTATATATGAACTGAAAAGATGGCGTCAGCATTGTCTAAACTTTTGGCAGTGGTGCATTCTAAGGGCTCTATTCTTCCCACTTCACTCCTTTCTTCCACTCTTGCATCCAAGACATAATGAGTTCAGTATCTAAATTTGGGAGTAAGACTCAGCCCATCATCTAAATAGTCTTCAGCATTGAGGGATTCCATAGGACAGGAAGGGATTGGTGAGCAAGAAAGCCAACTACTTTATTAGTAAATGCCGAAAGTTTGAGAACACAGAGGAAAACTGAAATATGTAAACAGTGGAGTAAATCAAACTTACTTAAATCTTTTAATAATTAGGCGGTTTTGGAAATGATGTTTTTAAAATTGAGACAAAGCTCGGAATATAAGGAAATAAAGCTAGCATGATCCTCAGGGAGGGCTCAGCTAACACATCTATTTTTAACTTGGATGTCCTAATAAAATGGCCTCTTTGATGTTTCCATCTCTCCAGTCTAAACTGATCCCCAGAAGCCCTATTTCTTGTCTCATTCCTGATAATTTATTAATAAACTACCCCATAAAACCCAGCCATTGTGGAACATTTAATAACATTAATTTTAGCAAGGAGACTATGAGCCGTGTAGATAACCATATTAGGTTAGATGCGAGCACAGCATTGCCCTAGCCATTTGCTGAGGATGTAGCTGAGGATGAGCTGCGAGAGTCAGAAGGCAATTTCAAACAAACCCTGAATCTGTGTTCAAGAGAGTACAAGAAGCTTTCCTATTTAAGAGGTGGAGAGGCACCCGAGATCCAAATAGCTTGATGTGACATCTGCAAAGAATTTTTGTGTCCTGTTCTGTCTCTCCAATCTTCATACTATCATAGCCCCACTTCATTCCTACTTTCATCGTAATCATCATCATCATTATTAGTAGTAGTATCACCTTCATTTTATTGTTGTTTAGTATAGTTTGAGCAACTGTGCTCTATTCCTAGCTAATTTAAAAAAAAAAAAAAAAACTTGTATTTCTTCTATGGGAAATAAGGGCACATTCAGACAAGCTGCTATGTGTAAATGTAAGAATACACATGGACACACACACTGGGACACACACATGCACTCACCTGCATGCACACACAACTGAAAATCTCATTCAAATATACTTTTTAGACTGACAGATTTTACTTAAACATGAACTCAGAACCACTAAAACCACTACTCCTTTCCTATTATAAAATATGTTATTTGACTCTTATGAAAACTGGAATTGTTTTTCTATTTAGAACATATGTTTTGAAACGTTTCAGAGTCACGGAAATTATGTGCATGCTTTTTTGAATACACAGCCTCCATACTTGGCAAGTCCATGTGCTCTGGTCATTTTATTCCTATTGTGCACCCTTAAGTAGGCTAAAAGGCAGACTTTTGTTTGAGGCAAAGACTCAGTTTTCTCTGCTTCACATCAATTCTAATGGTAACTTAACTGTGGAACAAGTAAAGCACATACCACAGCCCAGCACATGATACATGCTGCAAACAGTACTAGGAAACAACAAAGCAGGGTTGAGCAATACTGACTCACTTCTTGAGGGTTCTACACTAAATCTAATTTGCACAGTGGGCATTTGGCAACTACACCCTGTGCTTTTCCAAATTCAACAGGGCTGCCAAATTGGCAGCTTTGCAACAGCTAAGGGAAAGATTATATGCCCACACTCTGCCTTTCCCCTTTCTCTGTTAAACAAACTCAAATGTGAAACCAATAATCTTTTTCTAAGAAAAGATATATAAACGTCAGTTCAAATAACTGGCTACTAGCTGAGTAAATCAGATGGATCTGTGTCTTCCTGCACTGGGGTATTATTTAATTAAGAAAAAGTAAGGAAAAACCAAAGAAAAGGCTGTAAACTAAACCACTTCACAATGTAACATCAGGAAAGGAGCAGTCGCCATGCCATTGTTGAGTGGCCTTCCCTGCTTCCTGCTTACCTTCTCCCATCGCACCATCTTCTTTTGCTGTCTTTCCTTGTAGTCCTCGGTGTTTGGAAGAGATATGGGTTTTATTCTTTTGATCCTTAGCCTGGGACTCAGATATGTCTTCTGGTTTTATTTCTGTATGGATGCAAAAAGAACTGTCATTTTTCCTTTTGTTTTGTCAGACTCAAAAAACAAACAAACAAACAAACAAACAAAACCACTTTCTTAAAAATTTACAATGAGGACCTAAATGTGAAGGTGTTTCTCTCATTCATGTCTTTTTCAATAATGATTGTGATATGTATTTAACAGAATATGTATGATGTGTCCAGAGCTTAAGGAATGATGATATAAAACACAGTGATCACTAACTTTATGATATAAAATGGTATTGTCTGATACATTAGCAGCCACATATTGCTTTGGAATGCTTGAGACATAATTGTTTTAAGTTGAGATGGATTATAAATTGAAAATACACACATACTTGATTTGGGAAAAAGCAAAATATCCAATTATTTTGTATTCACTATACATTGAACTAATATTTTGTATATTTAGGATGGACACTAATTAGAAAATTTCTGTATAAATATACACATATATGAGCATACACATACATCACAAAACACCGACACAAACATAAACACACACATATAAACATGTAAACCCATGCATACAGAAATACTCATATACAGCTGTACATACAGACTGTAGATATATACAAGTAGAACATAGATAGAACTTTGTGTTTAGACACTAAACAAAACAGAAATTCAATTCAGCACATTACAGGCAATGCAGTTCAGAACCCCTCTGAGACTATACTCTTTTTAGAAAGATAAAGATTTTACTAATAGATTATCCAATCCTGATCCCCACCATGGGGAGAGAGACAAGGTCTCCAGGCTGAATTCTGTTCAGAAATTCTGTTCACCAATTTGGTATCCTCTCAAATAGCCCTTGAAAGTCCAAACACAGTGAATGTCCTAGTGGTCAGACCAGGCCACACCCACTGTGGTTCCTGTATTTGAATCTTATCCTTTTGCCTTTACTTATTGTGCTACTTTTTAGATAATTATTATTTAAGGTGGTAGTTTCATCCTGGCTCATCCCATCATGAAGAGCCGTTCAAGACATTCAAAGGTCCGTGGTGTGAGGCTTGGATGTAAATAAAAGATTTTTCAACGATACATCTGCTAAACCAGAGGATAAAATAAGAAGTTCCATTAGAGACTGTCCCTCAGAGTGCATGATTTTGCCTACATGACAATTCTGCTTCTGGGGAAAATGATCAAAACAGTACATGGCTATTTGTAACTTCTCCCTGCTAAGGAAAACCACTGGCACTTGCTCTTCTCCTTCCAAGAGTTTGCCTCTGTGTTTTCCTTCCTTTGAATCTCACAGTCATGTTCCTAAGACAGAGCCTTAAGGCTGTGTCACTTGAACACCTGATCATCCTGTCTCTACCTCTGGAGTGTGAGTACTGGGATTATAGACAGGACACATTATGCCCAGTATTGTGAGGTGCTTGGACTCAAACACAGAGCTTCCTGTATGCTCTGGTACCATAGTGTTAGTGACCTGCATTCCTGACCTAGCCCATTACCATGCCTCTGCCAGGGATGCCAGCAAAGACCAGGCTGTGGAGCCAATCTGCACTGCTGCGTGTGACAGCACGGGTTACCAAGCCTTACAGGGCCTCACCTGCGACACCCACACTGTAGGAATAATAGCCACTACCGCTGCCATTAAGTTGTTTAAGGAATTAATAAACTTATTTATCTAAGGTACTTAGAACCTCTTCAACAGTGAGTATGTAATAAATGTGATCACTTATTGTAGCTGCTATTATTAAGGATTAGGTAATCCTTCCCTTTATCATTTTAATTGAAATGGTAGGTTCCATACGGTTGTATAAATCACAAAAGGTCATAAAATTTCTCTTTGAAGACATGAAAGTCATGAATATATTTATTACACATAATTACTTCAGACATTTCATCAACACCCTCCTCCAAACCACCTACTTCTGTTTTTGCTTTTCTTAAACCAGCAGCAAACGAGACAGCTGAGAGCCAGCCAGGACACCACTGAGCACAGGGACAAGGCTAAGGTGATGGTTGATCTCTCCTTGCTGACAGCAGGCAGGACAGCAAAGGTTTTGGATCGAGCTGTCAAATTGGTACCTGTTTGGGAAGGAAAAACAGTCCCCAAGGATACATTAAGATATCAAGATCTAGCCCACAGCAGGCATGTAAAAAGTATTTCCTTGTAGTTTTTAAACAAATGAGTCAGTAGTAAATTCAATATTTTTTGTGTTCTGGAAGAAATGCAAGATGACAATAAAAAGTTATAATTTTTCCTTTTCACTTCTGTCCATAATAATGAGAAATCTTCCTGAGCCCTTCATTTGATGCTCAGACCTACTTTCTCTGTCACTGCAAAGTTCTAACTTCATTGACTCTGTGGTCTACTGTAGTGAACATTTTGTTGTCTTTAAAAACCCAGTATGTTAACATGTTTTTGTTTAATCCCAGGTGTGGGATAAGGGACTGCTTCAGATTGTCCACAGCAGCAGACTATTTGCCTTATAAGTGCTCTGTGAGGGGTGTGATCTGCCAGCTGAAGAAAGCTTAATTCTAGAGAATCTAAAGGGGTTATAAAAAAAATACCAGAACCCCAAAAGAGGCAGCCTGGCTGTTTCTCCTGCTGGTTCGTGTTCCTGCTGCTGCTTCCGCTGTTGCTAGTTTGCCTAGCGGTTGAAAGAAAAGAGACAGGAAGAAGAAACTGGAGATATCCTGACAAGACCTGAGATTGGACTTGCCCAAGGAACTCAACTCTCCTAATCATTAGGAAGTAGTTTAAGATCTCAACACCCTCCCTCCCCACTAACCTTCTGTTTCTCCTACCTGGTGTTGGGGCATTAACCAAACAAATATACAAATTTACAAATTAAAGTTTAGTTAAACTTAAATGGGGTTTACTTAAAGTGTTCATCACACCAGGGTTGTATTGTCTGCCAATACAGTGCCAACAGACTTCCCAAAGTTAAGCGCATTGCTATCAGGAGAACTGGGGAGTACCTGTAAATACTGCTGCTTGGGCTGAGGAGGAGGGGTGCAAAATGGGGGTTTCTCACTGAGAGAGAGAGCATCTCTAAGAATCATCTGATACCATATATTTTCAGTAGATTAAAAGTTTTGGTTCTGAACCCACTGCTATGTATTGGAAAAGGCACAAAAGAATTTGTTTAGGAACATTTAAAAAATATAGATGCAAATGTTTCTGGTAGTTTTGGCCATAACTGCCCAAACTCAGAATATACTCAAATGTCCTTCAAAAGGAGAGTAAATGGTTGATCTATTGAACTGACCGCCTGCCTACTCAGCCAAAAAGAGAAAATGATTAAGAAATGGGTAAAGAGCGGATGATAAGTAACCTCTAATAACTGAAATTAAAATAAAATGTGATGTACTGAAGGAAGCTCATGGTGGATGGACTCTGTATGAATCCATTTATAGAATATTCTAGAAAGGACCAAACTATGGAGACAGAGAACACATCGGTGTTTGCCAGTGAGAAAAAGGCTGAGATGTTTACACTAGCAGGACGGAACCCTCTGGAGTAATGAAAATTATCTGTATTTTGATTGTTTGCTACTTACAAGAATCTTCACATATATTCTAAGTCGTAAGACCCAGAAATGGCCCCTTTAACGACAAATAGATTTGAAAATAACATTTAAAAATAAAAGGCCTCTGAAAGGCTCTGCCCTGCAGACTATCAAAGCAGATGCTGAGACTTATGGCCAACTGTTGGGCAGAGTGCATGGAGTGGGAAAAAGTAAGATCTGGAGAGGACAGGAACCCCACAAGGAGAGCAACAGAACCAGAAAAATTGAACACAGGGATCTTCCCAGAGACTCATACTCTAACCAAGTACCATGCATGGAGATAACCTAGAACCCCTGCACAGATGTAGCCCATGGCAGTTCAGTGTCCAAGTGGCTTACATAGTAATGGGAAGAGGGACTGCCTCTGACATAATCTGATTGGTCTGCTCTTTGATCACCTTCCCCTAAGGGGGGAGCAGCCTTACCAGGCCACAGAAGATGACAATGCAGCCACTTCTGATGAGAACTGATAGTCTAAGATCAGAAAGAAGGAGAGGAAGACCTCCCCTATCAGTGGACTTGGGGAGGGGCATGCATGCAGAAATGGGAGGAAGGGTGGGATCGGGAGGGGAGGAGGGAGGGGCTTATGGGGGGTACAAAAAGAATAAAGTGTAATTAATAAAATAAACTTAAATTAAAAAAAAACTTGCCTACAGACTCAGAAGGATATGTTAATTATGAAGATAGTTACATGAGAGGACATTCATCAGAATTTATCACATAGTATGCTTTACGTTTTTTACCATTATCAATTATTCTAAATATTAAAAATAAAAATTCAGAATGATTATTTGCTGGTGATCATGGCTTACAGCTGGCCTTTTTTCAAGTAGCTAATTCAAAACAAATCTCTCATAAGAAACAGAGTTGCTATTTTCTCTACTCAAAGATACATCACGTATTTCTGTGCTGTGGTTTCCTTGGGTGAACCTTACAATTTGTTTGGAAGCCATAGTTAGATGTTGGATGCCTTGATTATGGAATCACTCACCTCCAGGATCTCAGAGCTGCTATAATAACATCAGATACAGTGGCTCTCATTTGCAAGCATGTAGCTTACACCTGAGCTAAGTTCAGCTACTTTATGTGCAAATACCTGCTTGGCAGAAGCATCTGCCTAAGGTTAATTACCATAGAGAGATGGGGGTGGGGGGATGGATTTTACTAGGTATTCAGAGTCATACAAATCTCTTAATTTTCTTACCCATTATCCCCATTTTTATTAATAATGATGATTCTAATTCTCTCATTCTTATTTAAGATGTTAAGAGCTAGTAAATGAATCAGTATATATATGACAAATATTTATGAAAAATTTGTAAATATGACAAATATTTATAAAAAATTTTATAAATATGACAAATATTTATTAAAAAATCACAATGCAGTACTTTCCAAAAAAAAATAACACAAATGAATACGATGAGGGAAAACACTCTGAAGAAGAAGTGGTCTGAAGGAGACATCAAAGACCCAGCACATTCATCAACAAAAACAGGAGAGGAAATTTTTGTGTGAATTATTAGAGACCAGGGAACTTTTGATAGGCATTAAATGCTACGCAAAATAGTCTAGATAAGGTAGAAACCCCTGGCTTTTTAACAATATAATCTTAAAAGTAATCTCAATACGCTCACTCTTCTACAAGCAAATATTTGTTTGTGCTTGGCATTTTCATATCCTGGGGATATATTGCTCAAATATATTCCCCTAATCAGAATTTCTGTCCCTCAGAAACTCAGGTTCTAGTAGGGGACCTAGCACACAAGCTATAGACAGGCAAGAAAAGTGCATGCAAACTATAATGGTCAATGCTGTGAAGAAAACTAAAGTTAAGGCAGAAGACTGAGTTACCAGCAGTGGGGTGTCAGGAGGAGGTATTGTAGACTGGGTTGTCCAAATAGGGATCTCTTAAGATAAAACTTTTGAAAAGAAACTTGATAAGTATGTCATGTGAATTTCTTTAGATTATAGGGCAAAAAGAGATTGTGGCTCCCCATGATTCATTTAAGAGTTCATGGCTCCAGGTAGTGGTGAGAAGTGCCACAGCTCAGACAATAGCGACAAATGTGGAAAGGCCAGGTGGAAAGCCAAAAGCACTAACCTACAGCCACCACCAGCAGCTAACAGTATCTCAGGAAGGGCATGTGTGTTTCAGGTGTATTTATTAATACATAGGAAGTACTCAAGAAAATCCTGTTCAGACACACAAGTTCTCTTTAACTTCTCAGCTCCTCTATGACTACATTTCTAAAATAAAAATGACTATTTGTCATCTTACCCAAGAAATTAGAGAGCTCAACAGGGAAAAGGATTGTATGTTCTTTGCTTGATTTACATGCAAATGAAATACCAATGTTGATTACATATGAAGGCTGCTTAGTAGCATTTTATCACTGGACACTGGTACACTGAATATTTGAAATATGACACTCTTAGGATAAGTACCTTTATCAACATGATGTTAATACTGATTAAAGAAGCAGAGGGTATTCAATAATTTCTTTTGGTTTGGTTTTGTTTAAGCTTTTATCTATCCTAATCTAAATTTTGTATAAATCTCCTTATGCAGATCCTTGCTTTACAGACCCAACTTTGACAAACATTTAATAACAACATTGAGCCTGATGGCCAACTGATGGGCAGAGTGAATGGAATTTTATGTAAGAAGTGGGAAATAGTAAGAGCTGGAGGGGATGGGAACTCCACAAGGAGAGCAACAAAACAAGATAATTTGAACACAGGGAACTTCCCAGAGACTCATACTCTAACCAAGGACTATTCGTGGAGATGACCTAGAACCCCTGCACAGATGTAGCCCATGGCAGTTCAGTATCCAAGTGGGTTCCATAGTAATGGGAAGAGGGACTGCCTCTGACATAATCTGATTGGCCTGCTCGTTGATCATCTCCCCTTGAGGGAGGAGCAGCCCTACCAGGCCACAGAAGAGGACAATGCAGCCACTTTTGACGAGAAATGATAGACTAAGATCAGAAAGGAGAGGAGAACCTCCCCTGTCAGTATACTTGTGGAGTGGCATGCATGCAGAAAGGGGAGGGATGGTGGGATCAGGAGGGGAGGAAGGAGGGACTTATGGGGGGATACAAAACGAATAAAGTGTAATTAATAAAAAATTAAAAAAAGAATAGTTTAAGAAAAACATTCAAGGGCATTTCTAATCTACAGGCTTTAAGAAGGAAAAAAAATGAAATAGTTTACAAATGAAATGTTAAGATTATATGTGGTTCTGGAAATTTGTTGTTAACAAGATTTTATAGTCTATTCCTTAAAATATCCTTGATGAAGCATGTGGTGAGTCATAGTTAACCACTGAGGAAACTAAAGGACAAAAATAATTTTAAAACGTCAGACAAACCTAGGAAAAAGTACTTAGGGCCCTGCAAACCTGACCCTTTAAAAACATATATTCAAAAACTCAAGCTTTAGGCAAAAATTCTTGCAGCCAGAGAATGAGCATGCTTCTCCATGAATCGGTGCACATCTTTAGATAGATTCAGAGGTTAAAAAAAATATCTGGCTCATAAAACTAATACCTGATGATTTCATATTTCAAAATATAGATCTTTTGCTAAGAAAAATGTTTTTAAACTTGGAATTAGGCAAATTAATTGAAGATCTTCCTCACACTATATTGAATTATTTTCAAGCAAAGATTTATCAGATTCTTTCCAGTATATTTCATTTTACAAATTGAGATTTCACTATATACTGTCTAAACTTGTCTCTCAAGCTCCTGGGCTTAAGCAATATTCTGGGTTCAGTCTCTGGAACATCTGTGTTTACCAAACACAGGCTAGTATTTAAAATTTTTGTGCTCTGGTTTGTTAATTTGGAGAAGACTAACAATTTACAAATAACTTTTGTAAATTTATAGGTATAAATGATATCTGTGGATATGTAACTCAAAGATTGTGGATTTCTTTCTCTATATCCCTTTCAGTGTATCTCTACATGACAGCTTAGCTCAAATAATTTCTAGAATACCATTGCTATTGTCCTGGTTCCTTCACTAATAAGTTAAACTACTTATAGACAAGTGTTCATTATGTATTTTCATCTGAGACACACTCAATGTGTTAGAAGAGAGATATTTTTCAAATTATTATGAAGGATAACTGAATTGGTTCCCAATTTATTCATACCTTCTATTAAGTATCTTTGGGTACTGAAATACCAACAGGTATTGTTTTCGTTTTCCATGTGGAAAGAATGAGGGAAACAGAACAGGTGGATTTGGGCTCATAATATTCAGCAGCTCAATTGCCTCATGAGTTTCTAATGAATGTAACTCACATAGAAAGAAAAAAAAAGAAAGAGAGAAAGGAAGAGAAGGAGAAAGAGGGAAGACATAAAATATATGCTAACACCTGCAGGAAAAAAAATATATATTTAATGTCTTGTTCATTACACACTAAGGTCAATTTATATAGGAGCTCTTTCTTTTTATACTTCATGGTATGCCCAAGTCAGCTTGTTCTCTAAACTATGATGGCTTCTTAATCATGAAAGGGGTTACTCCAATCACAAAGGAAAAGGGTTACTTTTTCAGAGAATACAGACATGAAAGAATACTGTGCCGAAAATACCTGGGGGGAAAATAACAGTAAAAACAAAGCGCCAGTTTGACCCAGAGACCAAGACAGCCAATCTTGAGAAGCTCACATAGCCATCCCGTGTTTCCGCCCTGGTACACCCTACAAACAAACAGAAAACCAAAGTTAGGTGTTAGTTTCTTCAACCAGAACAATGTCTTTAATTCTTCTCTGGAGACAGGAAATTGAATAATAAAGCAAAAACGTTTCAAAACAATTTCAGAAAAAAAAAATCATACAATCTATCCATTTCTTTTTAGACAGACCTTGAAAGCAAATAATTCAAAACAAAATATATTTATTGCATGTTTATTATATTTATTGAATATTTATTGAATGAATAACAAAACATATTTAACAAAAGATCTATCTTTTGAAATATAAAATTGTCAAGTACTTTTTTATAAGCCAGATATTCTTTTAATATCTATGAACCTGTCTGAAGATGGCACCAATTCATGGAGAAACAAGCATTTATTGAAAGCTAATAATATGGTAAACACTGTTTTGTATAGATACCTTTGTGTACAAACTTTATAACAGTACTATATAATATGTTATAGCCAATATTCTATCATTACATTGTATAACTTATGCTCAGATAAATTTATATTCTTAACTACAAATATACACTTGAGTTTCTTTTTTTTAAGTTACAGTTTATTCATTTTGTATCCCCCCATAAGCCCCACCCTCCTTCCCTCCTGATCCCCCCTCCCCCCCTTTCTGCATGCATGCCCCTCCCCAAGTCCACTGATAGGGGAGGTCCTCCTCTCCTTCTTTCTGATCTTACTCTATCAGTTCTCATCAGAAGTGGCTGCATTGTCAGGGTTCTAGGTTATTTCCACAGATAGTCCTTGGTTGGAGTATGAGTCTCTGGGAAGCTCCTTGTGTTCAAATTGAGTTTTTTGATTCACTTTCTTAGTACATGTCTATCGAGGCGTCGGATTTATAGGTCAGTAATAAAGAGAGTGCTTATCTGGTATATGAAACATCATGGGTTCTAACAGTAACATCATCAAAAGAATATATACCAAGAAATAAAGTCTTTTATCAGTCTAGGAGGTTGATATCTTTATTTAGGAAATCTGTATTAATGCAAAGGTAGGTTAAGCTAATAACATCGGGATGACAAAAGCTTATTATCAAATCTGGACCAGAAGGGTACACAGTCTTTTAGTAAAATGGATTGCCTGAGCCTTGGTTTCTCTGAATTCAAATTCTTTTAAAAGAAAAGACACAACACTTACATTTTCTAATGAAGTACCTGCTCATAAATTTAAAGGGCACAACTTAATTCAAGCTCACATACCTATAATGTAAATTGCCTTTGACTCCACTACACTTGATTTACTTTGCAAATTAATAACTGCTACACTTCACTCTGAAAATGTCACCATGGTGGACAAAGAGTTAAAGGAGTGATCTTAAAGTTTATGAACTTGTTTGTGATGTTTAAGCCTGAAAAGAATCATAAAGATTTAGTACATTTAGTGCTAACATTTTTCAATTCAATTGCTCGGCCCTCTTTTTGTGAAAACAATGCCTTTCCTCATCAATTTTGCAGAGCTAACTAAAAGTTTCTTTACACAAACCATATTTTCTTTCATCTCTGCAGAGGCCCAAAATAAATAAAATGCCCAGGAAAAAAAATGGAAATAAATAAGCCAAGACTCAAATAAATGATAGGCGCCTAAGATAAATATAGTTTATACTCCTTAAAACCTATATGCATCAAAATTATGGTCAATAAACTCTTGCAAACAATGAACTGCAGAGTACAGATGTTCAACATGAAATCGTTTGCTGCAGTTTTTCCTTTGACAAACGTCCTTATTGTTCCCATCTTTGGAAGAATGCAAAGCAGCATTTAATCGAAATGTGTCCGTCGAGCACTATGAGTTTGCCTCATAGAACAGCCGCCAAACTGCCTAATGGAAAGTGCTTTAGCTCCAAATGGGTTTGCTTTTGCGTTAAATACCAGCTTGCCTTACAGATCTCCACAAAGATTCCCATATATATCTATGATATTTTCAGATTTCAAGCATATGTGCCCAAAAGCTGAAGCACTTGATGCCAAGCACACTGCATTACTCCAGGGTCCATCATATCTTTGGAATGGCTATTATAAAATATATAAATGTGGTTGACAGGCTCCCTGATCAAGCTGGTATAAACAAGGTACTGGTTGAGAGAACTTGGGACGAAGTGGTGATGCAGGCTGAAAGCAACGCTGAAATTGAGTTATACAGCCACCAAGGAATCACATTTGGGTGTGTGTATGCAGAGTCTATGGTTTATAAAATACCTTTGTACCCCAAATGTTTTCCACAAACAACTTGGTATACATGTTGGCCAGCTGCTAAATATATATAATGCTTGGAATTTATTTTCAAACATACATAGAATATTTTTCTGCAGTTGTGACCTATAACTGAGTTTCCGAGGTTCCAGAGATAGCCCTGAAATTAATTGCCTTTGTATATTAATCCACTTTTGTGGTGATGATATAGCTTTTGTTGAATAGGGCCTAAGAACAGAAAACAAAGACCATTAAATACAGAATAAAAGACTTAGACTACACAAGCAGAATAATTTTGCAGTTGTTACTTTGTTTTTCTCTGGGCCTTACTTGGAGCAAGTTAGTAAATCCATTCCAAATGGTTTAGTTTCCATTCTTTATAAAGGTAAGGAGAAATATCTCAACAATATGAAATAAAGGTGTGTGTGAGAGAGAGATGTTTTATAAAAACATAAAAATATATAATTTCTATCCTGCTTCATCATATGCACACACATGCATGAGCATGCACATGTGTACTTGTGCATGCACACACACTCACATAAATATGAGTATTTCCAACTACCTTTCTATTCGATTTTCTGAAACAGGCAATAGTCGTAATGTAGAGAGGGTGGGATTAGGAGGATACAATGGAGGGGACCACAGCCAGGATACAAATTCAATAAATTGTAATAAATAATAAAATTATGACACAAAAATCTTTCTCCTTTGCTTTAAATTTTAGGCTACTTCTTCTAAAGTCTCTCCTTGCCCCTTCCTCCCCACCCCTTTCTTAATTTGGCACAGTATTCATTCATTTACCATTTTGTGTTTCCACTCTGACATTCCCTATCTCAATAAGTAACACCAAACTCCAATCACTGTATTAAGGTCAGACCTCAAAGGCATCTTTCACTCTTTGTTTCTTTCACTTGCCATATGTCACTTGATTCTACTTCTAAAAGGCAGTGCGAGTCAACGCTCTACATCTCCACTTATTGTCCAGCTGATGTAGTGTCCATTCTTGTGTCTCACCAACCAGACTCAGGGACGTAATCTAATGCAGAAGTCAGTCCTGTAACACTACCTGCTTAAAGACCTCCCAATGGCTGTGCATCACACAGAAGAAGCACTCCAGCCTTCCTTCCTCTCTCCCTCCCTCCCTTCCTCCATTCCTAGAATCTAGTAATGTCTGGCTTCAACCCACCACCCTGATTTCACCTTCTCTCCTCTTTTCTCTTACTTAATAGGTTACTTTGTCTTTGTTCTGTCTGTATAACTTATTCTCCTTATAATAATGTCTTTAGCTCATGTTTTAGATTTTAAATATAAAATCGCAACGGTAAGAATATTCTAAAGTACCAGAATGTACATTAAGCCCCCAAGCAAAGACAAGTATTGACATCAGAGCTAATACTTATATATTCTGAGCTACTACTCTGTCACAGACCACTGGGACACATTCATAAGCAAATTTATATCTCATAGAGTCAATTATACTTCAAGAAAGTATTTGAAAAGTCAGATGGTCAGAATTTAAAATATAGTTTACTTTTTACATAAAATTCATGTTATACATGTTTATTTCTCTTTGGTTCATGGACAAATGTAAATTTGGGGGATTTCCTGCAGCATATATAATCCCAATTCTCTGTTTCCAGCACCACAAACTCTTCATATTAAATTACTGATATTTTCATTTTCATATATAAAAGCCCCAAGGAAATTAAATGGAGCTGGCATTGCTGCCAGGATTAAACAAGATAGTAAGGGATGGCATAAAAATAATAGAGGCAAAACCTAAATGCAAGAGTTTTCTCTGGGTCATATATCTGAACAATTAATGCATTTATTTTTCTTGACACTGAGATACATATTTCTGTTCCCTTAATAGAAGACACAGATACGAGGCAAATCAACTCCTGGGCAAATCTACAACCCTCTACCATAAAGTGTGTGTTCAAGTAGTATTGAGTGTTCAGGTAGTATTGAGTAGACTATAGGGAAACTAGAATTTTGAGACTTAGCCAAAAAGTAAGGCTGTAAATATGTTTTGCTAGTCAAGTCTTCCTTTTGGTCCCAGTGTGGATTGAGAACGCCCATGTTTGCTATGAATGCCTAATGGGGTCCCAATGGTTTGGGTAGGGTTGTAGGGTGCCACCTATGTATTCAAGTGTGGAAATACAATATCCCAGAAAGGTGTGGTGGCGCACACCTTTAATCCAGCACTTGGCAGGCAGAGGCAGGCGGGTCTCTGTGAGTTCGAGGCCAGCCTGGTCTACAAAGTGAGTCCAGGGCAGCCAAGGCTACACACAGAAACCCTGTCTCAAGAAACCAGAAAGAAAGAAATTTAACATCCGTTGAATATGTGCTTGTGAGGTGGAACTTTGGGAATTCTGTCAAGTTTTCCAAAAAGTGAGAGTATTAACATAGAAAATTATATGAATCACATATTCAGTAGAAGTAGACGGGAAAATGTGATTTAAATTTGTAAGGCCATCAAGTGAAGCCTGCATGATTGAATACTGATTATTAAAAGGGACCTACTTGCATGTGTGTGCAAACACACATACACACACATGCATTTGCACACCCAAACATGCACACTCTGTTTTTTTGTTTTGTTTTGTTTTGTTTTGTTTTGTTTTTACATATAACACCTTGTGATAGCTGAGGGATTCTGTCAGCAAAATGGTTACCTGGCCCTTGAAACTCTACACCTATGAAGCAAATAAACTCCTTTTCTTCATAAAACTGAGAACTTTGGGTGTTTTGTTATAGTAAAACAACTAAGACCACATGAATCTTTGTTGTGCAAAGCAGTAACTGGCCTGTACCTTTCAGCATTGATTCAGATGCCCCTTCCAGGGACGCTGAAATAATCCAAGGCTCTGAGGGGAGACCCAGCAACTCCACTCTTTGCTTCTAGAAATGAGAGGAAAGAGAAAAGACTGAAATTAAGGCATCATTATTTGAAGTTTTCCTAAAAAGAGACATATTTACACATCTATGCTATGAAGCACAGATGTGCTCCATGGAAGGAAAAAATGATAAATGAGTTCCTTTTCATGTTGACATCAAATAAAGTTAATGAAAGGAGAAAGTGGAAGTTATTTTAGGGAAGTTTGAGGCAGGATGGGGAAGAGGAGAAAGTGGACCTGAGTTACAAAAGAGAAGGCTATCACGGGTATATGGAGGGTAGTAAAAAGTGAGAAGTGCGGAAACAAAGCAGGCCAAGGACACAGCTCTCTCGAGCAGAACACTTCCCTCACATAGTCACTGCTCTGGGTTCAATCTTCCATACCCCCAAAAGGAAAAATATGAAGTAGAACCAAGGCCATGGAGTTTGAAGGCAAGATTTCAGCAAAGACCTAAGTGACCGACTTCAAGAAGCATACGAAAGAAAATCCTCAGAGGTCTGTGTTTGCCTTTGTTAGGAAATGCAAGAAGACACAGTGTGGTATTCAAGGATGACCACTGTAGTAGAATTTCTGTGGTGCCAATTTTATGCAACAGTCACTCTGTAAATTTAGATAGGGATGAATAAAGCATATTCTGTGCAGAGATAGTCAGAGCTGAGGAGCTACCTTCTCATCCAGGAAGACAAGCTGCGGTTGAACTGGCAATTCTGTCCCCACTTCCCCATCTGAAGGCTGCCTCAACATGGAAAGCACAGAGGGCCGAGTATATATCAGGTTCCCAGTTCTTAAACTACTTGCATTTCTAGAAAAAAAAAAGAAAAAGTCAATGGGATTAATACATCCAATACACTGATTTGTACTGTGATCCAGAGTCTATGGCACAAGTGCTTTCCCACCATGGCTGAGTCCAAAATATCAAGATGCCTCTGAACTAAACTCGGAAGAGATGGCCCCAATGCCAGCACACCACTATTTTGTATTCATACTTTCCAAATGTACTCGCATTACATAGGTCCCATAACTGCACACTAATTGTAGATTTTAGAATCATGTGGTGAATATAAATGTAGTAGAGCATATTTACTGACACTCTGTACTGTTAGCCTTTCCTGTATCAAATCATTATATCTTTAAAATGACACTCCAGGTTGGATGGTTTTACTGATGTTTGATGGGCAAGTTTCAAGTAGTAAGATGCAGCAAAGGTCTTGTAAACCATAACTATTTTTGCTACTGAGCCACGGGGCTTTCCTGCTTCTCACTTTGTTCAAACATGCTAATTGCTGGCACAGACCTAGCATAAAAATAACTATATAACTTCTGATACCTCGAAGCAACTTTGACTCAGTGTTTGGTATGCTCAAAGATGTAACTTAGGAGAACATTAAAAAATGTACCATTCATTTTAAGTTATGTATTACATGCCATAGGCATGCAACAGATATTTCACAAGTAAATGGAGTTACATAGATAACATATACTATACATTCTGCCCCAACATATAGTGTGATTTGATGAACTGCTTTCAAGGTACCTAGCCCTGGTCAACTAAAGTTTTCATTGTATTTTAAACATAGCCTCAATCAAATATTTGTGAGTTACATATTCTATTTTCTGTATTCTACTCTTGTGGGGGTAAGAAAGGATAAGGTATTGCTTATTTATCAGAGGTAGCTTATGACAGATACAGGTAGACATTAGTCCTGAAAGAGGAAATGATGGAAGAATGATTACAATATGTCCAACAATGTGAAGTTTATATAAAGAAAGCAATTTTCTCCTATCCAGTGAACCACAGAAAGATACAGACAGAGTGGGAGCTTTTGGTCCTGGGAACTCGGTTTATCCACCAAGCAAAGGCCCTGAAACCTGGCTGCTGGAACCTCTCTCTGAAAGTTCTGTGTCTAATCATCATTTATTAGTTTGCTTAGCCTAAGTAGCTAAGCTTCCTTTCTTTGTTAAAAAAAATATTAAAATAAAAAAAGAACATTGTACACTAGTGTTATCTTTAAGATCTATGACATTCTATTTATTTTTGTTGGGATGTACATTACTAGAAAAATTTAACAGTTACTAGGTTATAGTCTTCTCTGAACCTCATCCTCAAATGTTTTCTGATGAGAGAGGGGTACAGGCCCGCAGCCTGGGCTAAGGAAACTGAAAACTCCATTAACGATTCGGACATGAGTACATTGGTATCTGGAGACACTAGGTTGGGAAGCAACGGCCTGAACACTTACAGAAAGGCTTGTCCCTGACACACTTTAAAGTTTATTGTGAGCAAACATCTCGTATTAAGTGTAAACAGCATCTCACTGGAGGTCAGGGACTTGCGGCTGCAGCATATCCCAAGGTAATACCACTTTAAGCTCCACATAAACTCCTAAGCAGTTTCTATCCTAAAACCTGACCGTAGGTGGCACAGTTTTTTACGATATGTTATAATAGTGCAATAAATCTGTTAGCTTAAAATCGAATCTCCGTGGCCTTTTAGAGAAATCATCATTAAATGCAGGGTCCTGTTAATGATGCCATTGAAGTGGAATTGTTTAATCTGCTAAGGGGGTGAAAGGTCACCAAATGAATTTTTTATAATACATCAACTTGACACGCAATAGGGAAAACTGTAATAGATAAAAGCAAAGGAAAAGGGCACTGTCTTCTGCTGATAGGTCAATAGCAGCCAAGAGAGTCACTCATCCACTTTCCTTTCACGATGGGGCTCCTTTTGCATTTAATATGGACACCCAATTAATACCTCAGTACCGCAGACAACCTCATTTTAGGTGACTTATAGCAATTTCTCCCCCTTCCCTGAAATGAGAGTGATCACAATACATCATAGCATTGTGCGAATTAACGTTAATTGATTCAAGTTACCAAGCAATGATGAGCCACTTATATAATCTAGGCGTTATTGGGTGCTAGAAGGGATGGAGGGAAGATTAGATTCCAGTGTCCGTTGCTGTGACGACGGGAGTCACCTGACGCCTTGTTAGACAGTTGTAAGGTTCTATTGCTGGCCCCAGTGGGGTCGTCAGTAAACTGGAGTGATGTCCAAACATCATTACACGCTGCTCCAATATTAAAGCAAAGGGATTAGCAACTTATTGCAAGCAACCTGGATTTGTCATTGTGCTGTCGTTATCCAATTTCCAACTGCTAATGTGACTGTAGCCTGCAGGCAGAAGGACCTACAGCCAAACTTTAAAAAATGGGGGAGGAAAGTTCCCTTCATCCCCTCCAGTTTGAACCACTATTTAACAGTTTGCAGTACCCAGTCAAGTATATGAAACATATTTCTTCATGCAATGCTTAAGTACAAGCTGAAGGAAGAAGATCATGACGACACAGAAACTTTCCAGCTCAGCAACTACCATTATTCTTTCCAATGTGTGCTTCTAAATCTAGCAGATATAACATTCGCCTCCTAGAAGATGAGCCTATGGCAAACATAGCAAATGGAAATAAATAAATTTGTAGTGGTGAATACCCTTTTTCAACAAAACCTACTGTGATGAGTGAAGGTGGTGTGGGGAGTTTCTGGTACTTCTTCATCATTGCCTACCCCCACGTTCTTAACTAGGTTTCCACAAAACAAAACAAACAAACAACAAAAAGAAATCCCATGTTCTGATTAAATTTCCAAAAGATCCTGAGCACCTCTTGTTTTCACTAGACCAGGCAAGTGATACAGACTATGTGTACCATTGAGTTGACTTGGAAAACAGAATAGTAATTTCTGTACCCTGAAAGAAAAAAAAAAAACAAAAAACTAAAACTAAATTTTCTACTCAATTCCATTTGACAATCAATGTTAGACCTCCTATTATGTACAAAAATTCCTTGAGGCAATGTTAGATATGCAAAGATAAATAAAACACTATGACTGCCCCTGGGGAAGACTCGTCTATACTTCTGGAAGACAAGAATGACTTTTCTAGCTATTTTTCTGAGATGATACAAACCATTTTATTCACATTTAATGATCTTCATGATCCCTATTAAACCCAGGCAGGGCTCCCTTAGCAACTGCCCTCCCTAAGTGGGAAGAAATGTCTTATGGTCTGACAGTTTCCTGCTGTTGCTATGGTCCAGTCATATCAAGCCAGACACACTACAAGCTCCTACTGCTTCTTACCACAACACTTTGCCATCTCAGTGCCCATTATGTACTTTCTGAGCACTTAAACCATAAATCACCTCAGGAAGGTTACTACCCATCTCGACTTGGCCAATTTCAACTTTGTATCTACTGTCCACACAGCACACTTACTTCTGGGCTAATCCATTTATGGTTTGTTGGGCCTGATAAGGCCTGCTGCATCTACCTGAGCCTGGCTGGAGTTTGGAAACCTGTCTTTGGCTTCTGATTTGGGAGGTGTTGCTTCTGGGCAAAAGTGACTCAGCATATCTACCTTAAAATTAACCCTGCCTGGTAACTTATGTGGAGTTTTGTCACTGGCCCATGTCTCCTTGCACCACTTAGCCTCACCCTGCCTCACTTCCTTAACCCTCCCCCTGCTAACAGATCTCCCTGCTAGGCAGTGTTTTATTCCCTGGGGAATCCCAGTAGGTTTGGGCCATCAACGCTCAAAGCACTATCTGCTGGATATCTACCCAGAAATGGTTAAACTCTTGGAATGGCCTGAAATTATCCATTTCAAGTAGCAGTTCGCCACAAGAAAACATGACACATCTTTCAGCAATTTCAATGAAATGCAAACATTCAGTAAACAAACCTAAAATATGATAATTAGTAAGTTACTTAAGATACCATCTTATGATAAATCTAGCATGTATGAAAGTTACACAGAAGCATGGAAAACAGCTCTTAAGATTCTATACAAATATTCAAAGTTTTGTATTTATGTGGAGCTACTATAGAAGGAAAAGCCTGGCTAGAAGGAAACAGAAACTACTAAGGCTTTTCTAATAGGAGAGATGAATACAAAGTACCATTAGCTTGTGGAGATTGAGATCTTTGTGCTCAAAGATAATCACAAGGGAGGCCTGGTGTATTAAACACACAAGGTGTTCCTTCATGGGAACGAAGGAAGGCTGGGAGCCGGAGTTTTTACTACCCTGGTGACCTATGCTTTATCTGTGTGGCTTCACCAGCTCGTCTCTCTACAGGCCTTCTGCAGAAGGCCACTTAGGACTATCAGACTCAAGAAGCTAAGTAGCTATTTTAGTGGTTCACTTAAATTTTAGTGGACTTAGAATCACACAGGTGGTGGTGAAACAAACTTCTTAGCTTGCCTATGAGGATTTTTCCAGGGAGGGTTAATCCAGGAGGAAACGGCCAATCTAAGCATGGGTGTTACCTGACTGTAGGATGGGGACCTGGACAGAATAAAACGGGGACAGAAGACAGCATTCAGTGCACTAGCGCTTGTTTCTGCTTCTCCGTTTCCTGGCTTACCATCATGTTGCCTATTTCCACACTCCCCCTTGTCTCCCCCACTTGAGTATTGACTGTCCTTAGACCTCGAAACAAAGTAAACCTTTGCACTCTTGAATTATTTCTGATAGGTATTGTGTTCACAGAGATAAGAAAGTTTTTGATAACATGTCACTGTCTATGAAAAATTCCTTGTCATGAATAAAAGTCGACCTAGTCCTCTTAGGAATAAAAAAGTAAACTGAAACTGTGACTACCCAGTAAATAATATACAAATAGAAGTATACTCGTTTTATTATGAAAAATGACATTAATGGGCTGGTTCATGTTGAATTAGTTAATTAATTCCTTTTTCTATATTAAGATTTTATTTAATTTTTGAGAAGTTAATGCATAAA